AAATATTAAGTTTTTTCTTAAGAAATGTTTGATAACTATATGGACATTATGAAGATTTCACATGTGAAATTTGAAAATTTTCTGATGCATAAAAGTATTTTTAATCTTAAAATGAAAATTCCTTTGATGTTAGATAAACAACATGCAAAAAGAAAAAAAGGCATGAGAAAAACATTGCTTTACAAACCTTAAGACTTAATAAAAAACTTAGATATTTTGCGTATGAAAGTATTGTAATGTTTACTGATAATGTACCAAATTTTGTTAACATTCGCTTACTAATTTAGAAGTTATAGCATGAAAACTATAACAAGCACAAAATGGATATGAGGTCAGTCCTAAGTACCAAGCCCATGCTGAAACAGTTAACTAGCTGAGCAGTTTGTTTTACACAGAAATCATTAGAATTATCCAGATTTGTAGTGTTATAACAAAGGTGTAATGAAATTTAGGATTGATTGAAATCTAAATGATAATTGTTTATGGTTTTACTTGTGTTCAGTATCTGTTTTTCATATTTTTCTTTCAATATTATGTGCATCATCCCACAACATATTTCTGTTTTCTCCCAAGATACAACCCTTACATCCAGAAGGACGGCCAGTGAGTGAGCAGAACTTTGTGAGGACTGGTCTGTTAGGCTTTCTTGGACCTGTAAGTTATGAAAATTTGTGTTTTTTCTCCGAGTTTGATGTTAATTGTTTTGCATGGTTAAAAATCTGTAATATTTAAAGCATCTAGGATATTGTTAGAGTTAATTATTGTCACACCGCCAGGCAAGTTATTTTTGTATGATGTTAGTAATGAGCATTATTGAACTGTGAGATAGTAGTATGACAACCAATTATGTAATAAAGTAAAATATGTTTAATTTTGATGGATGATTGGTAGTAGCCATGTCTTATCTAAAAGAAGAGTTGTTTGGAAGATGGCTTAGTGGTTAGAGTGTTTGGGTTGCATTCTGTTGGTGGTTGGAGTGTTTGACTTGCATTCTGTGAGATGCAGGATTGAAATACGTCACCAAACATGTCAACCTTTTCAGCCTTGGAGGTTTCATATTGTAATGTTCAAACATACTATTCATTGGTAAAATGTAGCTTGTTTCTTCAAAATTATGGATGGCTAGAACAGATAGTTCTTGAATAGCTTTGCACAAAATTCAACTAACCAACCTTTGAAACACAATACACCATTCATACTTGTGTATAGAAGCATGTTATGCTAATGTAATATTGTAAATTGACAAACAGTGACTTATAAGCATTTTTTGGTTTTCCAAAATAAAAGCACTTCATCATCTTATAAATTGTTGTTTGTATATTTACTAATAACACACACAGTTCAGTTAACACAAAAGTTAGGAGGTGACGCAACTCGTGTTAAACAGACTTGTGTAGAAAGTAAGAGTTCAGAATTTGTTTTCAGGCATAAAACATTTTATTAATTTTTGTATGCAGTGTAACTATGCTTTTTTTTTGGTACATTTTGTATTTTGGAATTTCTATCTTTAGAAGTATCATAGCACAAATTTTATATGTATATATTTTGAATTAAAAAAGTTCATTTCTAATAGAAATACTAGCTGCTCCATAAATTCCAAAAGCCATTGTGATGTTTTCTCAAACTTAATAAAGGTTAAAAGGCCATTTTACAAAACTTGCAAGGTATATGATAAAGTCTGACACTTGTTTTATTCCATATATTACTTTAACTTTTTCATTGCTTTTATCAAATATATATATATATATATATATCAGGTATGACTTTATTTTTTGTTTTTTATTTTATCTGTTGTCCAAATAATGGGTTTAATTCTATCTTATCAGAGAGAATGTGGTTGTAAGCAGTATACAATCTCTTACTGGTTCTCAGAGAGAGCGTATCTGTGAGTTGTTTACTAATATCAGTTTTATATATCTAAGAGAGGATTAATATTTGTTAGCTAACATTTTTATTGTGTCTGTAAGGGAGGACTTGTGTTTGTTTGTGGTACCCGAGATGGTCTAATGCAAGTCAGTGGGAGGAAACATAACACTGATGACATCATAGCTACTGTTTTAGCTGTAGAGCCAATGAAGTTTATTTACCGTGGCAGGTGAGCAGTAATTTGAATATCTAATAAACCCAAATAAGAATGACATAGAACATTGTCTTAGCAAAGAGAATTTTTGGTCTTTTTTATAAAATCTCCAATCATTTGTATTCTAGTGATGTATCATAATATATGTTAGTCTTGCTTGTTATTCCGTAATATTAAGTGGTTTAGTCAGGATTCATAGTTAGTTCAAAATAGTTAAGCCTCTCAATGTGGGCATCCTTTTCTGTGCATGTCACAAGGTCTTTGTGAGTTACATTCAAAGTTTAATGAAACTACAGTTTTGTATACAAATAAACTTGCATAAAAATTTAGCTGATAATCCAGGTTTTAACATTATATAAGTTTTAAGTTTTTAATTTTATAAGGCAATATTAAAAACAAATTCTGGATTTCTCCTAGTATGAGAATTGTGACATTTGCTCTCTAGGCATCTCCTCTTCTCTGATTTATTTACTGCCCCTCCAAGAAGTAAGAAATTTAACATGAATTACTCATTATACTGTTAATCATCATTCAGACAAAGTTTAATATGTATAGCCTTCAATCTTATTTGGTTTACAGATCCTTAAGATACAAATCATACACCTCTTGCCATGCCCATCTGTCACATCCTTTCTTTAAGAAATTGCCAATAGTTCTCTCTCACATTTAATACTGTATTACTTATAACCAGTAGAAAGCCAAAGTTTTAATCTCTGGATCTTTGGTAGTGATGTTAAAGATTGATAAAAGTGGTATTTTGAAACTGAAGATAATCTTTCTTTGTTGTGATATTGACTGTAATGTTTCAAGATGTTTTCAGCAGAATAAAATTGAGAAGTGGTACCAATGAAATTAAATGAATTTTAGCCTAAAAACATTTTAAAATTTTTATTAAATGTCAAATATCACAAACTTGTAATTCAATAAATATTTATTTTCTCTAGGATTGCCGTATTTTCAATTCGCGTGCTTAGAGATGAGAGGATCTGTGTTATAGCAGAACAAGCGGCCTGATTGTACAGAGGAGGAGGTAACACAGAGTTTTAACTTTTCAGAGAATAACATTCTGATATGTTAAATACATTTTTTGAGATATTACTCATGAAATTATTTGTAAAAGATAAAAGTTTCCTTAGATTAACATTATATTTTTATGAGTATTGTATGTTATCTATAGACCTTCTTTAAGGGCAGAAGAAGGTGTGATTATTGTTTAGTAACATTTTTGTGAGTATTGTATGTTATCTATAGACCTTCTTTAAGGGCAGAAGAAGGTGTGATTATTGTTTAGTAACATTTTTATGAGTTTGTATGTTATCTATAGACCTTCTTTAAGGGCAGAAGAAGGTGTGATTATTGTTTAGTAACATTTTTGTGAATATCGTATTTTATCTATAGACCTTCTTTAAGGGCAGAAGAAGGTGTGATTATTGTTTAGTAACATTTTTGTGAATATTGTATGTTATCTATAGACCTTCTTTAAGGGCAGAAGAAGGTGTGATTATTGTTTAGTAACATTTTTGTGAGTATTGTATGTTATCTATAGACCTTCTTTAAGGGCAGAAGAAGGTGTGATTATTGTTTAGTAACATTTTTGTGAGTATTGTATGTTATCTATAGACCTTCTTTAAGGGCAGTAGAAAGTGTGATTATTGTTTAGTAACATTTTTTGTGAATATTGTATGTTATCTATAGACCTTCTTTAAGGTCAGTAGAAGGTGTGATTATTGTTTAATAACATTTTTGTGAGTATTGTATGTTATCTATAGACCTTCTTTAAGGGCAGTAGAAAGTATGATTATTGTTTAGTAACATTTTTGTGAGTATTGTATGTTATCTATAGACCTTCTTTAAGGGCAGTAGAAAGTGTGATTATTGTTTAGTATCATTTTTGTGAGTATTATATGTTATCTATTGACCTTCTTTAAGGGCAGTAGAAGGTATGATTATTGTTTAGTAACATTTTTGTGAGTATTGTATGTTATCTATAGACCTTCTTTAAGGGCAGTTTCATGTTGAACTAAGTGGATAATGTTTGTTTAAAAATGTAAACTGAAGAAAGTCGTGTATTTCCCAACACAGAGCTTCCAGTGGATGAGCAGAGTTCTGCAAGCCGTTGACAGTATTCATCAAGTTGGAATTTACTGCTTAGCTCTAGTACCTCCAAACTACTTGCCAAAAGTAAGAGTCATGATTGGTAGTCATTTTTAAGAGGTTTTACTATGTATTACATGTAATCTTAAACCATAAGATGTGTAAAGATCATTCTTAGAAAATTAATGTTATTATTGACAGTAAAAGTTGGATCAGATAGTGCTCTAAATGTTATTAAGTTTGCTGATCTTGCTATAAATATTGTTGATTGAACTAGAATTTCATATGTGTACTTTGAGGTTGTATCTTGTGTTAAAGATATGAGTACACTAAGTAGGAACATGTTGAAGATTTGAGCATACCAAGTGGAACATGTGTTGTGTTAAAGATATAAGCACACATGTAAACATAAGAATTAAGATATGAGCACACTAAGTAGAACACATACTGTGTTAAACCTACGAGTACACTAAGTAGGAATATATTGAAGATCTGAGCATACCAAGTAAAGCAAACTGTGTTAAATATATGAATACTTTAACTAGAACACATTCTCTTAGATATAAGCACATCAAGTAGAACACATTGTGTTAAAGATACGAGTTTTCTAGTAGAACACACTCTTAGATATGAGATCATTAATTTGTTCAATAGAACTATAATAATATCAATGATAGAGATATGCTATTTTTAAACTGAATAAGAAATCGATAACATATTAAAGAAAGTTAACTATTAATATTCTTTAAAGAACGGAATGAGTTTGGCTTTATTTTATTACTATTATTATGTCATTAACTATATCAAATCTTTGCCATTTATTTCCAGTTATATGTCATTAAAAAACATTGAATGTATTGTGTAAATACTACAGTGTGTGTGAATGAAGTTTGTCAGTTTCTGAGTAATGTGTTCCTTTATAGTAGAGAAAATTGGACTCAAATGACAACCTGTGAAATTTAGGAAAAAACAAACACAATATGTGTGTTATTTTTTCCATCCAAAAAAAACAAACAAACAAACTTAATTAGATTTTAAAGTTATTTTTTGTAACTTTTACTTAATGAACACAGTCAATATGTTATGCTTTAGTGGTGTCTCAAAAGGTTGGACTCTTTTGTAGGTTGTACATTATCTACTTTGAAATAATCATAAAAATCAAATCATTTTATACATTTTCACTATGCAAAAATATTCTGCAATGCTGCAAAAGCAAAATATTTCTGTTCAGTATATTACTGTGCAAAATGTTTATACTGCACTTTTATCTTATATTTTATAGCAAAATATGTGTTAGAACATGTTAAATTGAGTGTCTACTTATAAAGAAAGCAGTACAATTTTAACATGTCAAAACTTGTTATTTTCAGACTCCTTTGGGTGGCATCCACCTGTCAGAGACCAAGCGAAAGTTTCTGGAAGGAAGTCTTCATCCTGCTAATGTTCTGATGTGTCCCCATACATGTGTTACTAATCTTCCTAAACCTAGAGAAGTCCATTCAGGTTTGTTTTTTAAATGGAGAATCTATTTATGAATTCTCTTTAATTTGTAAAAAAATCTGTAAATATACTTTTTAAGAGCATTTTACTGTGGCAGTGCATGTCATGATGAATGCTCTATGTCATTAGGAAGTATAAATTCAAAGCAGATTGTATATGTTTATGAGGAATTAGACAAGTAACATTATTTAATTTTTTAAATGTTTCAGGTGATTACATTTTAAATGTTTCAGTTGATTACATTTTAAAGATTACCTTTGATTATTAAATTTAGTTGTATTCAAAATTGTAAAATATTTTCAATTCTGTATTGAATGTTGGTTAGCTTTTGAATTGAAAAAAACAATGTTTTCTTAACACAAGATTTTTTATAATCAGAATAATCATGATGTAGATTTTAAGCATTTTCTATTCAGTGAAGTGTAATTTTAACTTATTCTTGTTTTTTAAAGCAATTCTTAATTATAATGATTTTTATCGTAGACAAATTTTTTATATGGTTTCCACAGCGTAACATCTCTTGTATTATTTCGCTTCAGTTTTTTTTTGTTTTCACATTTAGAGGTTGGTCCAGCTTCAGTGTTGGTGGGAAGTATGGTACAGGGAGTAAGACTAGCATCAGCTCAGGGAAGAGACATGGCACTAGTTGAAGATGTCAGTGATGCTACACGCAAATATCAATTCATTTCTGAGGTCCTGCGATGGAGAGCAGCAACCACTGCTGATCATGCTATTTTTACATTATTAAACTCCAAAGTATGTTTAGTAGTTTCCTTTTTTACTTATATTATTGGAATGCTCAACATGTAATTGAAGCATACATTGTAAATAATGTAGATATCTCTAGGGAATTTTATTCAAGAGATGACCACGTGTAAAATTTCTTATGAAAAGTGTAGGCAGTCAGTGAGAGCAAAATGTATATATTTCACACTTGTTAGTTACCCTGGTAACTGAAGATAAACATTATGTGTTATTTTTTTGTCTTCCACTCTTCTATTAGGGAGGAGTAGCATCATCTTTAACCTGTTCACAACTTCAGAAGAGATCTGAAAGAGTTGGTTGCCTGTTGTTAGAGAAAGGGAAGCTTAACACAGGTGACCATGTAGCTCTTATTTACCCTCCAGGTATCGACCTTATCTGTGCCTTCTATGGCTGCCTTTATGTTGGTATGTGCCTTACATTTATCACATTCTATACTTAATTCATAGACAGCTGAAATTCTACACTTTCTAGTGTGAGCATCCTTTTATAGTGATGCACATTATGTTCATTTGTTGTATTTTAATCATTTATGAATATTTTTACAGAAATAAAAGAAACTGAACGAGTTAATAAAATTTTTAAACCAAAGCTAATTTGTTATGATTTTAATTACATAAACTGACTTACTTAAAATGGTAATTTTTGTAACCTCTGTAAGACATGCGACTCCTTTTGTATTAAAGGTTATAAAGTAATTAAGTTTTGAAATTAAAAAATCGGAGAGAAACAGTTGAAGGCCATGATTTTTATGTTGTTTTGTAAATTATTGAGACAGTATTGTTAAAGTACACTGACATTGTTTTGATGGAAAATAATAAATATTGTGAAATCTCTTTCTTGGATTAATATGTAACT